TGATTGGATGTTAGATATGATTACTGTATCGTATTAACGTGAAGGCACATTCTCTCATTACGGTTGCTGCGTAAAAAACAGTGCTTTGCAGAACCAGTACAATCAATTATTACAAGATAGATTTACTATACTTAAAGATATATTTTGGCAACTTTGTCAAATTCATAATAACAAAATAGTACATAAAGATCTTCACCCTGGTAACATTTTATCTAATTCGCAAGGATGGTTTATTGGTGACTTGGGATTTAATGGTCCTTTAGATGAAGGTGCAAAAAATCAGGTTATTGGAGTATTGCCATTCATCGCACCAGAAATATTATGTAAATCAGAGTATACGCAAGCATCAGATATTTATAGTATGGGAATGATAATGTGGCAGCTCGTAGCTAGATGTTATCCATTCTGTAATCGTAAATATGATATTCATCTTGCAAAAGATATTTGTAATGGGCTTCGACCAGAAATTACTTCAGATATACCTCGAGATTATCAACAAATTATGAAGAGTTGTTGGGATGCTGATACAACAGAAAGACCAACAGCAGAAACGCTTTTTCACCATTTTAGTACAGACCTTGAAAAAATGTCATGCAGTAAACATGTAATTCCAGAATTAGAAATCATGTTCAGCAGGTCTCATTTCCATGTGCCTAACGAAACTATAAGCGTCATTCATGAGTTTGTCAATTTACCTGAACCTAAAAATGAAACAACTTTGGGTAAGTTTTAAATTTTCTTGATAACTTTTAAGTAATGGCTATGCACTAATTACCTATATTATAAGGTTAAACGCATGGTTTAATCATGAATATACCTCACGCAAGATAATATCCTCTTCAATTTTGCGATAATATCCTCACTCAATTTTGTGATAATGCCCTCTCCCAATTTAGTAAAAAAATTTAATCAAAAATACTTTAGAGAAACCTTAGAGAAACCACAAATTTTGTAATAACATTGCTACAAAATGTCTAAATTGTTCGCGACAATATTTCGATTTACATTCTTATATTATAATTAAGATTCCATTTAATATTGTACTCAAATTGTGCAAAAATCATATATAGATCATATAGAAATTATATCTATCACATTGTATAAAGTTGTAATGATTTTTAATTGAAATTATAATAATATTGTTTTATGAGTAACAAATGTATTTTATATGAAATTGTTTATTTTTATTTGAAGCACAAATAAGTTATAAGAATAGATTAATGAAAAAAAACAAAATACCGTAAAACCGCGAAATAACGCACACCTGCGCGTTATTTTGAACACCTGCGCGTTATTTCGAATACGCGCATGTG